CCTAAAATTAGTATTGACTCGGGTCAGGACCCATAGTAATGCTAGCATGATACTCATTAAATATCATTCTCAAAAACCAAAACCATTGCGCTTTTGACAAGTGAATAGTGTTTTTTTTTTTTCATTAAGAAAGACACGGTCCAATTCTAGCTTTCTAACCTGATCAGCAGCAGCAGATTAAAGAGAACTATCATTTCTACCATGTGATGATTATTTAGGACCAGCTTTCATATCAGAAACGTTTGGCGACGACCCGAGTTCTCGCCAAACGTTTCTGATGTGAAAGGCAGATTCGGGGTGCCGGTAGAGTTGCGAAAAACAAAGTAAGTGAGCGAGTGCAAGCTTCGCTACTGAGAATATCAGATATAGATTTAGCAAACAAATGAGAACACCAGGTATACCTCTTTTTTCGTGTCACCGGTGGGCCTTCTTTGGTCTTGCTGGATTTCCTTATATATATGCTTTTCGGCAAATAACAGCAACACGACAACATTTGTTTTAACATTGAGTGCGTTCTATTCTCTGAAATTTATTTCTGAGCTAGGGAACGATCTTCTGACTGGCGGTATGATTTTCCATAAAGTAAAACCAGGGAATTTATTCAACTGAAATGTTCAAAACAAAAGGGTTAATAGAAGCGTCAAGCGATGCAAAAATAGACAATACTCAACAAAAATAAACCTCGGTAATTCATGCGTGTAACTGTCCACCTCAGCTAAGTATGGTAATATATTAACCCTTTCGCGGACAAAGGGGGCATTTGCAAAAGAAGGAGGTTTTAGACCCCCTCGATGGAGGCAATATGCTTGCATCCGCTCGAAGGGTCGCTCAAATGTACCCACTTTTGTTTTTTTCATTCAAGTACGTTGGTATAGGGAGATGTTAGGAGTAACAACTGTTTTATTTCTTCTGATCCCTCCACAAGGCGATCAAAAACCCGTTAAACATGCTTAAATTTACCAGTCAATGACTGCGTCAGGTGCGTCAGCATTAATGACCGCGTTGAAGCTAGAGCTGCGCGAAACGCTCGGACCACTCTGAAAGGTCACACACCCTTCATCGTACTTAAATCAGGGTCAGTGGCTGGGCTCGCATTGGATTCAGTAACCAATCTGCGTCAACGATGGTAAATCGCTGCCGCACGTCGACGTCAGCGTACAAAGCTAACTCGATTTATGTTGTGATCACCGGTGTTGGACATAACCTCTGACTCAGTGAGTCTTATGCTCACGTCAGCTGAAGGATCCCAATAGATAAAATGTTGAAGTTATGTACCACTCTTATATAATATATTTAGGACCAATGCGGCTGCAGGGCTTGGCGGCAAGAAGAGACTTTATCACTTGTGGATTCTCCTTATCGTTGCCAAGCACTGCAAACAAGATCCCGGAGCTGAGGCCCCGCTAGACAGCGTTCAACTTCCTACTCTATCTACTTCCGAATGAGCAAACGTCAGGTTATGAGCCCAAACAGGGTCTCTTTTCGTGTCCAAGGACCATCGAGGAGGTTGGTTCAAGCAGAACCGAATGGTCGCAAAGGCAACAGTGACAACGGAGACAACGCCAGTAAAGCGTCTTCGGAACCGTCAAGCTCGCCACCACCGTCACCATCGTCTAAGGATGCTGCCTCAATCAGCAGTTCTACGAACTCGGCGCGTTCAGACTCTTCGTCTGATAGTAGTGCGTCTGAGTCGAGTACAAGTAGCTCGGAACGGCAAAGCCGCTCTAACCGAAAACGTGCGAGCAAGAAGAAGTGCTCCAGTAAGGAGAGCGCGACCGGTCCTGTAGCGGGCCAGGTATTTACCATTACTAGCTTACACGTAGCGATGAGGAAGCTCGTACTTAATACGACAGATTCAATTCCCGGTAAAATAAACTCTGATTTAAATTTGGTCCAGGGCAGAACACCTGGCCCCTTGAGAACCACTCAAATGCAAGTCGGCTCCTGATTGGCTGAATACCTGACCTTTCAACCAATCAGAGAGCGACAATACAGCACGCGCTACTCGCGTGCTTTGTACCTACTTTTGTATATCAATCTACCTACTTATGTAAATGGTGACCCATTACAGGTCCACAATGAGGGACTCGCCAAGCCTTGAAGTGCCCAAGCTCACTGGTGCTGACGAATATGAACTATGGAGGACAATGAACGAGTTAAAACTCAAGGTACAAAAATTGTGGTCTTTAGTGACCGAAGAAGTGGTCCAAGACAGCTCCTGGAGCTCTGCCAAGAAGCGACGATGGAATGAGCGGTGTCTGAAGGCTCAAGCTATCATTGCCGGCTCGCTCGGGTCGCGTATGGCCGGTCGTTACAGGCAGCTGCTTGTAAACTGCGATCCTGTGTTGTTATTTCAAGAGATTGAGAAAGAATGCAACACTGGTAGCGTCGCCAAGAATGACATTCTGATCAAGGCCGCGATGTTCGCGCGGAAACTGGCTAAACGAGAGCGTGTCTACACGTATATCGACGCTGTTGTGCAACTACAAGAAGACCTGGTGACGCTTGGACACCCTCTTGAAGATGCTAAACTTGCTCGACTTCTTCTCACTAATGCCCTAGAAGTATTGCCGGACCTAAGTACGGAGTTGGTTGGAGCAAGAATAAAAGCGAGAGAGATTGAAGTCGGTCAAGTACGTGGGCGACCATTGGCACGAGAACAGGAGGGAAATATGCGCCTTCCGGCCAGAGGTAATGTGTCTCAAATCGGTGGTAACGCTGCAGGTTTGCAAGGTGGTCAATCCACTACAAATACAGTTTTTCAGTTTTCTACTGGACGAAATGACGGGAGCGGATACCACAAGCATCAAGACACGGGGAACCAGAGTCAGTGAAGGAAGCCATTCTGCGACGACCGTGTGCGAAATGTGGTAAACTAGAGCACTGGTATCGAGATTGCTGGCAGAAAGACGACCAGAACGCAGGCAACCAGCAGAAGAACAATGGCGGTCGATGGTCGTCTGGTCAAGGACGAAGTGGTGGTCGGCAAGGCAAGTCTGGACCAAAGTCGTTGATGGCAAATGTCGGCGGAGTTGTGTCGGTTGGAGGTGATGTCGTGGAGTGGTGTTTGGACAGTGCTGCGACGGCAAGCATCTGCAACGATCTCTCTCAGTTAACTGAGATTTCAGCAATTGGTAAGGATCTTGAAATGCTCAAACCAAACTGAAGTTGTCGTGGGCTTGCCTGGTGCGGCTAACCCTGCTCCTATCGTTGATCAATCCGCTACCATCGTACTTCAAAAGAAAATTCCAGTGAGTACTCCCGTTGGAAATGTTCCTATAGATGACACTGTTGCTCGGCATAAAGTGTTACGGTTTGGAAGAAAGCGGAAGAGAAGTTCACGTTTGGATAATTTCGAGCTTTATGCCTCACCCATGACTGCATTCAAGTTCGGGGAGGCGTAGCTGTGCGTGGCGTTTTTCCATCTCGTGTGTATAGTCCTTTGCAGTCCATATTGGTTCTATCGATTGTTCAGACATCGACAACGCAGTAATCATAGTCTTGTTGTGGTTTTGCGTAGAGGCTTCGGTGCTTTCTGCCTGTGCAGTCGTTGTCCTTCTCAACGTTCACAGCGTCTCGTGGTCCGTGTCGGTGGGCTTAATGTGTCCTGCCTGTGTCGTCTTCGTCACCACAGCCTTTGCGTTCTGGTACGTGTCCGGGTTGATTGACTTGGTGTTTGTCGCTATTCGTATCGAGATCACAGCGGTGGTAGTCTCGTAGTTGCTTGTGTAGGTGATCTTGGTGTCTCTTGTCTGTGAAGTCATAACTGCTGCAGTGTCCAGGTCCTGGAATGGTCGTCAGTTTCCTGAGCTAGATCAGCACTGGAACTACAGAGTGCGATTGGGGTTTAACCTTGGCTCGACCTAATGTTTCAAAAAGTAACCACTTCAAGATGATGCGAGATGCTTCGAATACGAAAGGCAAATGCTCGTAGTATACAAGCGAACACTGCATCATAGGGTACAACAAGGATCCGGAGCTTGACCCACCAGAATTATCCTTGGCCATGCTCAGAATTAGGTTGATCACTTGCGCAAGTCGGAAGCTCTCATGGGAATATCCCGAGGCCAGTCTAGAGATGGGGGTAGCTCAGACACTGAGGGCGTTTGTTGACAGAAGCAATCAGTACACAAGAGATTGGTGCTTATCGGAGGTATCACCTCAAAGCAGCCTTTCAAAGAGATATTTACCGGAGCCAAAGTCCCACTGGTGATTTTCGAAGCTGTACAGAAAAAGCTAGGTTGGATTTCAGGTCGGAATGTTTTTTTTTTTACCAGATCTGTTCATTGAGCGAACATGCACGATAGCACTATTGGAGTACTTGTGTCCTGGAAGAACCGCATGTGTCCTAGTGAGACGGGTGTTAAGTGGCCGTATTTTGAGATGTCATGCTACGCATTGCCTCTCCGTCCACACTCAAAATCTGAAGCAAGTACAAACAAATTCGGGCGAATACGTTAATCGTTTAGCGTAAGTGTTCCAAAACTATTCTCGTGAACATGTTTCGAGTTGTCACCTACTATTGCCTGGAAGAAGCCTTACCTATGAGTTACCGAATGGGGGCTCCCGGCACGATGGCGTAACGATGGCTCAAGAAATGGAGACAATTTTGAAGCATGCACAAAATGAAGGGTAAGTCATGGGATTAGTCCTTAACCCCTCTGTTACCAAGGTCGTAACTGACGACTTCACAAAATCACTAAGTCGTAACTTACGACTTGAGCGACACCAACAATAGCAAATGGCTCGATAAAAACGTTCCATTACTTTAATCAAGTATAATTTATGCTCGATAAGGTATAAGGTCACACAGGTCGAAGTTACATGTGCACAAAACGAACGGTGGATAGGGCTACGCGGGAAAAACTGATCTGTACCCAGTGATGAAGGTTCCACGGTGCCAGACCAGTTCATTTGGAAATTGGAGCTCTGGCACGCAAGTGAAAAGATGGTGAGGTTGCGAACGAGTACGGTGACAAAAGATGCTGCGGTGGCGCGTTCGGTAGACTTCAGGCATCTTTGGCGGGAGTTCCGCGCGGTTGGGCGGACGTCAAAGAGACCGACGCGGCTTGCTACGGAGTGGATATACTACACTCCGAATCGTGACTCGCATGAGTTGGTTGAAGGGACAAACATGTTCACTGGTGTGGTTTTCTTTGAGTAGGTTCTATATCTAAGTACTAACTGTGAACATGCTCAAAGGCGAGAACGCGGTTGTTAGGTATGCGATTTCATCTGGCCGATTAATCTGGACGAAAGTAGTGACGAGAATGGAGAGAAGCCAAATGAAAACGTCCGACCCTCTCAAAATGACTGCTCTTTGATGTTGTCCCCGCCTACGCTGGATACCTTTTTTATAGCAACAGTGGTGCTGACAAGGAGATCGCCGGAGCTGATACAGAAGCGGTTGCACCGACCGTGGATACTGTGCAACAGTCATCTGGTCAGATCGAGCTATCAGACGAAGATGTCGTCGTTGGCGCGTTCCAGCGAGTGCTGTCGGAAACTGAATCCGAAGGACACATCCATCTTTCGGACAACGAGAGCAAGCACGATGATTCAGAACACGTGGATACGTCTCTACCCGCTGTTCACGTTAGAGCGGACGATGTGAATGTGCTACAAGAAGGTGGACACTCCGATGACTTCGAGTGTATGGACTCCAGCAACAGCGATGATGGCGATGATGACTGTGAGGAAGATGATGTGGTAGAGCGCAGGGAACATGTTGAAGGCGATGAACTTCCGGATGATGAGCTGAAACTAGTTGACGAAGCATTCGTAGCCTCGCTTGGTGGAAGTCTGCCTATTGCCAACATCGACAAGGATGCCTTGCGCCTGACGTAGTGGGGTGAACCGTCCTCTCTGTTCGAAATTAATAGGCCGAGCTACCAGGAGCTTTCAAGTGACGAAGCGACTCCTACGCACGAGCTACGGGAAATGGCAACTACACCACTAGGGTTACTGTTCTACTTCATACCAAAGTAGTTGTGGGTCACCATCGCGAGTGAAACCAACCGCTATCGAGCACAAAACATTGATTCCGAAGCCAAGCAAATTCGTGCAAGTCAGTGGCGTAGCAACCGTGTCGCATCACCAGAAACACTTTTGCAGATACGAAGGCGTCTGAGGGCTGTAAATGCGTATGATACATGCGAATCTTGCACGTAATCGGGCTTCTTGTTGTGCACATGTTGTGCCTTCACAAGCAACGGTTCTCGAAGCACTGGGCGATGGTGTGCGATGAAGCTTTACCTGCTGGTACCTTTGGCAAGTATATGCCACGCAATCGATGTACAGCTATCCTACGTGATCTACACTTCACGAACAACAATGCACCCCGCACTCGAGACAAAATGTGGAAACTGCGGCCGGTCGTAGACATTCTGCAGTAGCGCTTCCAGTCTGGCTGAACATTGCCAGCAGTGTTTTCGTTCGATGAAGGCGTGTTACCAGCAACGTCTCGGCGGAACACTACGCGGATGTTTATGTCAGATAAACCTCATCGGTACGGTACCACACTTTGTATGGTTTGCGACTCAAAGATAGCTTACTGCCGCAGGTGTGTTTGTATATTTTTACAAAGTCATAGCTTATGACTTGTCTAGCAATTCTGAAACACTAATGTCGTAACTTAAAGTGTTAGGTTTGAAGTCTATGTTCGAGCACGAGAATCAACAGACGGAGACTTCACCAGTATCGACAGCAAAAGACTGGTGCAGCTGCCGTCATTCACAACCTTAAATCGTTACTTGGAGAGTGTTGCAGTGGATTTCGAATGGTCGTTGTCGACCGGTATCATTCGTCCGTAGCACTGGCATTACAGCTCCTAAGTATGCTTATATACGTCCTCGGAACAATCATGAGGAACCGCATTGGATTTTACCGTCAAGTCGTTGAAAGTCACGGGACGCGACCTCGTGGAGTTGAGAGAGGAGCATTTACGTTCTCGCGCTGCGCATCAGTGCCTACAATGGTTGCGTGTCACTGGTGGGACAGAAAGCCAGTACACTATTTGGCCACGGGTGCATCGATGGAGGAGAGCACGATTCGGAGCAACGTGAAGCGAATCGGAGCGATTACCGCGAAGTGCCCCAAGCTTGTGACCGACTACCAGCGCTGGACGGGCGGAGTTGATATTCACGATCAACTCCGCCAGCAGTCGTTCTCAATTCAAATGGCGTATCGGTTTCGAAAGTACTACATATCCTTATTTTTAGGCTTTCTAGATCTGGTGATTGTAAATGCTTTTATCACACACAAGGAGGTATGCCGGATTACGAGAACTGCACCAATGTCTCGTGCTGCGTGGATGAACGTCCTCCACAACCAGCTCCTGCAATTAAAACCCGAAGATTTCGAATTGGATCCTATTGCTACTTCACAGTCATCAGCTCCCTCACGGCGAAAACGTCGTCGCCCTCCACAGCACATCTACAAACAGTACGATGACTGGGTCATTGTGTCTGGTGTTCAAAAGCGAAGACAGCGTGCGTGTAAGGTATGCGCACTTCTTCGCGGTGAGAGTAAAAAATCTTTCCAGACGACGTTCTACTGCGAAGACTGCTCCAGCGGGGACGCCAAATTTTTTCTCTGCCCGAAAGCCCGACGTGCGTACAACGGTATCACGAAAGCATGCTTCCAGATTTGGCATGAGGATTTTGAGTGCTGAAAATCTATTCCTGAGTCTCTAGGAAATCCAGTAGTGTTTCGACGTCCGGCCAAGTTCGGAACGCGCCAGAAAACACGTCGTGAGTTGCTGCGGGAAGAGGGGACGATGCTGGTGACGAGGGCGATACTGCGTATGTAGCTAACGTTTAAAAGCGCCATAAAACGGGGGTTCGCTTGTAGTACCTTGAGTGCTGTTGTTTTATGTAATTGATTTTGTACGTGGGTAGTACATTTCTTGAATCAGGCTTAAGTGGAAGTCGTAAGGCTAGACTTCTCTATGTGAAGACTAAACACTTCAAAACTTTATTCACCATCGACAATGCATCCTACGGCAAAAGGGACACCCCTTTACAATAATGCTGTTATTATAACGTCGTAACTTACGACGTAAGGTTTGCACGTTCAGAGGCTCCATTTGCGGTACCAGAAGGGTTAAAGACAACGCCGGAAAGTGTGGAAGAGCGCGCTGCATATTGGTTTGCGGTGGTCAATCGTTACTTTGTTACCTTTCTCTTTGTTTTGTCCATGGTATCAGTAATATCATCACAGCAGTACTCAAGTATCTTTTTTGGACGCGAAGGAGGCGACGGCGACAGTAAAATGACTTAATGTATCATCAGCCCCGAACTAGGGAATGATGAAGGCATGTTACGTGAAGTACCCAACCGCGAGTGTGGCAGTAACTACAACTTCCTCAGGCAGCATCAATCCCACCGACACGGACCACTCCGTGACACCAATTGCTGCGAGATCGACACTGCACAGGCAGGAAATGCGGTGACCCCGACATGTACCACTACGAGACGGAAACTGCTGCGTCAATCACGACTGCAGGCAGGAAACACGGCGTTCAGCAACACGGAGATATGACAGAACATTAATGCTGCGGCAACCACGACCGCACAGCAGGAAGCACCGAGTCCACCGACATAAAACACTGTGACGATGGCGCATATGGGAAGCAATGAATACTTTCACGACTTCAGGACGGACTGCGTCCGATACATTAACTATCTGCAATGTGAACTAGAAAGCGGCAGCACCGTCGGGCTAAAACTTCTACGATGGACCGTTGGGAATCCTCACCAACATTTTGCAAATTATCTGATAGTAGAAATTTCTATCTCTGTGTTTCGGCGGGGAAAAATCAAAAGCGAGGGGGTTGTACAAACGGTCCCTACCTATCAAAAAGCACCACTGGTTAATGCCAATGCGTTTTGAGATGGAAAGGGCAGAGACTAAAACTTAATTCTCAACCCTCCGTCGTTTCATACTGCGCAACTCGAGGCAACCTGTATTTGTTTAACTCATTTATTTAACTAGGCAAAATTTACCTTGGTTTCTTCTTATCAGTAAAATAAAAAAAGAACATCAGCAACGTGCACACAATGCAAAAAAAGAAGCCACATATTTGCACTTTATTAGCCTCCTAGGAACAGCATTTGCAATAACGAGAGATTTAATACGCAATTACTCTTTCAAACATCAAATGAAAGACTGCCAGCAACGAAAGGAGAGCGAGTGCAAGCGTTAACCCCTCGAAACCGGGTGCTGCATAATCATTTTCCTTAAACTGAATATATGATTTTTAGACTTAACGTTTGTAAGGCTTGTTTTTTTCCTCCCCACGTGGCATACAAAATTTAAGACAACCAGAATGCCTGTTTCTGTGTGGGTCTTATTTTTCTCAAGAGGTAAGACGGGGCTACATTTGTCTAAATCTCAGAATCGATTTTGCGAGTTTTGTGAGATACTTTCGTAATCTAGATGATTTGTATGACCTACCGGAGGTAACAGGCTGATCCCACCCAGTGAGTGGCGCACAGCCAACGACGATCGCCGCCTTTTCCAAATGCCTCTCATTCGAGATTTTGCGCTCCGAGGGCCGAAGGCACAGGAGGATGGTGAGAGTCCAAGTCAAAGTGCCGCGAGACTGCGAAGTTACCGCACGCGACTTATCTTTCAAGTCGGTGTGGCGAGAGCTGAAGAAGAACGGGTGGACGCAAAAGCCACCTCCGGGTCGCAGTCTCGATGACCGCTACTTCTACATGCCTCCCGGTAAGAACGTGAAGGGGAGCGAAGGCGTCGACTCCTTCCGTGACGAACAAACATTATTAGAGCATTACTCAGAAGGGGTGTGTATTCATCTCAATTGAATAGCTCGTATCCATGTCTAATACCTGCTTGTTGCTTGTAGAACTGCGACGCCGTGCAGTAGGCGTCCAACCCAGTGCTCCTGGAGCTGATCAACTGGCTGCTGCAGCAGCTGTCGTACGTGAAAACCATGCTGCTGATATCGAAGCAGCAGAAGCAAGAGCCCGAGCTCCGACTTCCGCTCAACCAGTCCCCGCCGACCAGGCAACTAACGTTGTGCCTCCTAATCCCGCAAGTGCATCTGCTACCAGGCCACAGTCGCCAGCACAGCGAGCGCCGACGCGTCGCTCTTTGATAAATACCGCAATTCCTATGGCAAATTCACCAGCTGGAGGTACCCAGCCTAGGTCTCCGCTCATCCCGACGTCACCACACGTTCAAGATGCCGATTATTCGTCCGAAGAAGCAGATAAATCTGATAATAACAGCGACGGCGAGTCCACACATCCAGCAGAAACCCCAACCAGAAACGGTATGCTGCATTGTACACTGCATGCTATGCTACATAACATGCAATATAATGTACCGAATGCTGTGCTGCATACCACGCTGCATTATATACTGCATAGTATGATGTATGTTAAACTGAATACTAACACATAGTTATGTGCTGTTCTTTAGATGATGCAGATGAAGACGGAGAAGATTCTGCTTTTGGTAGTGAGCTGCTTGCCGACATCATTGATGATTTGAACGTGGTTGTTAATCACGCGATTGAACACCAGTTTGGAAAGTTGGATTCGGGTGATGAGGCGGAGGCCGATGATATGGAGACTGAAGAGTGCGTATCGGATGAAGAGGTGGAAATTTATTGTGTATCTGACGGCATTGGTGATGATCCGGTCGCGACAAAAGACGAAATCACGGCAGAGGCTCTTTTCGCGGAGAATTTTCTGGATAGTTTTGGCGATGAGGATGAAGATCTCGCTGAAAACCTAAAGAACACTGTCCTGTGTGAGATGTCCGCCAATGGTTGGGAAGATGTTGTTGAACCTGATACTATTGAGTACATGCACGGTCCGTACGACCCAGTCAACAATACGTCAAGCTATCCTAGCCTTCGCCAAGGGTACTCGGGTCCAACTGCAGACGTTTTGCGCAGAGGAGACTCTCCAATTGGACTCATCTTTTACTTTCTTCCTGTCGTACTGTGGCAGCACATTGCTGCTTGCTCGACGGAGTATCACCGGGAGATGCTACCACGTCGACTTGGCGAAACATTTCAGCGTTATCGCCGGAAGCGGAGGTTGAACCCGCAGTTACCAAGAAAGACAAGGCGAGATATTCAGCACAAGTTGGAAGGCATGAAGCCTGTCTTACCACACGAAATGTGTCAGTTTGTTGGGTTATTGGTGGCTAGGACGGTGGTCTTGAACAGAGAAAAACTTGCTAATCAATGGAAGACAACGGCTGAGGGCGCTATGTCACGAGGGTGCTTTGGCTCAGTGCTGACTAGAAACTGATTCATGGAAATTTTACGCAATCTTCATTTCAACTCGAACAACGACCCCAGAGCTCAAACAGACCGCGCCTGGAAGATCCGCAAGTTGGTAGAAGTCCTGCAGCGCACCTTTCTTCGTGGATATGTTGCGCCATCACACTTGGCGTTCGACGAAGCAGTCTTACCCAGTCGGTCGTCCTTCAATAAAATGCGCGTTTACATGAAGGACAAGCCCCACAAGTGGGGCACCAAGCTCTTTATGTTATGCAGCGCAGTCTCAGCGTACTGCATCAGGTCCGATTTTTTTTTGAAGCGGCTTTTTACTATCGTGCATATTGCAGTTTTGTCTAACATTTTCGGTGTCTTGTGTGCTGCATATATGCAGGTTTGAAGTATATTGCGGCCAGAAACAGCACGCTAGTGACGCCCACAAGCCCTACATGAAGTCAGGCCCTGCTGCTGTTGTCCGAAACCTGCTTGCTGCATTTGGCCCGGATGCAAGAAAGCAGGGAATGCGCCTAGTCGTCATCGACAGATTCTATACTTCTGTGGCTTTAGCTATTCAGCTGCTGCTGCTGGGTTTTAACTGCGTGGGAACAGTCATGACCAATCGCTGGGGATACTTAGAAGGTGTCGTCGAGAAGACGAAGACCCGTCCACCTATGATTACGCGCGGGTCATTCAAAGTGGTACTTCTAAGCTCGTACCAAATATGTCAGCACTATGTTGGTGGGATTCTCGTCCTGTACATTTTCTCAGCACGGGAGGAAGCCTTGAGCTGGATCGGGTGGTGCGACAGAATGGTCCCACGCAAGAGGAAGTGCCATGCCCCAGAGTTGTAAAAGATTATCACGCGTACATGGGTGGCGTGGATGTCCACGACGAGCTGAGATCGCAGCGTTTTTCTCTCCAGCGTGCACTCCGTTTTCGAAAATACTATAAGTCGTTGGCACTGGGGCTCATCGACTTGACTATTGTAAGTGGATACATCGTACATAAGGCCTTTCACAAGAACAAGCAGTCACGACTACTAACCCACGCGAAGTACATGAAGAAACTACACATTCAGCTGTGTCGCCTACAAGCAACAGACATGTATGAGTCCAACACATTCGGCACCCAGCCACCCCAAGCCATGCCTGCATACGTACCGGTTCCTGTCGGTGTAACTCAGTCAACTGCGACGCTGCCCGTCAAGTAGATGAGTGGAGAGAGGAAGGAACACAAGGGGAAAGACATCAAAGAACGTGCACGGTTTGCTCGCTGCTTCGAACTGACACCCAGCGAGCATCAACAACTACATACTGTTGTGGTGACTGTAGCAACAAAGGGCCGGTCTACCTCTGCATGCGGGCGCGCCGACAAGTTCGTGGGGTCGCCAAGACATGCTGGGATGTGTGGCACAAGGAGTTGATGAACAGAAAGCTAATCCTGTTCGAAAATGCCAAGGGATTCGTATGCGTCAGAAGCCGGCTGAAGCACCTGGTACTCCATCGCCTCCGGGTATTCCTGCAACGCCAGCATCTTTCAAGAGGCGACGAACGACAACGTAACTTCTACCCTGCATACATTTCTGTCGTTAAGGTGCTAATATTCAGGATAAGTCAAACTGCGTAAGTTTTGACCCACAGCTGTGTAGCATCGAATGTCTGTTCTCGTGCAAGCTCATCTCAAAGTGCATCACAAGGCTCGTGTTTCTGCTCCAGTTGAGGCGTGTTCAAGCAGCTGTGGTGTCCACATATTCGAATTTGTATAGACCAGAAAACACACAGGCTCGTGTCATTTGCTTGCGTTACTGGATAGGGGTGACACTCCAACTTTGTTTATTGGGATTTGTATGGGAAGTTTTAGTTTTCAAAATTTTGAAAATGAGAGCTGTAGACCGGGCTGGTTCTGCTCCTACGTTTTCGGGAGTTGTCCTGACTATTTTCGCTTTATACTGCATAATGCACTTTACATGTGGAAAGCTTACTACCAATATGCAGGTTTGTGCAGTTTAATCGCTGTTCTGCACAGTTTTGCAAATCCCGATTTTTTATGAGCGAACAACACCTAACCCTTTATTTACAATTACTAAGTTTAATTAAACTGTATATGCAGTTAAAATGTGACTTTTGGTTTCCGGTTTGGAGGGGTTAATTGGCTAATGGTTAATGCGACCATTTAGAAACAGGCTGCATTCCGACTAATCACAATTCATTTTGCCTTGGATTGAGTACAACAGCCCTGAAGAGTAAATAATCTGGATTAAACCGTAAATAAACTTCTGGTTTGAATAGTCTTCGACTTAATAATGATACTGTAGCATTACCGTGCAAACACACTCCAATTAATTCGGTTGTTCTAACCAAGACACATTAATTGCCATTCGGATGTCGAAGACTGAAGCAAAGATTTTCAGGGAACACCAGGTTGAAATGACGGGGGTCAATATTGCGCTACATGTAGTTAATTATGCTAACTTAGCACTACCATACAAACGCACACTACGATAAACTCAGGGATTCTCATCAAATAATTAATTGCCATTGGTACGTCGAAGACTGAAGCAAAGATCACACGTAACACATAGATTGAAATGGCGGTCAGCATGGGTAAACTACTTCGCCTTTACTCGGATCTTGTTTCAAGTCCTACTTATCTTGTCGTTCTAGCTATTATATAGTCTACTGTATGAATCCAGGTATGTAGTACTAGTACTAGACTCTATAACAGTTTTCTAGCGGATCGATCACCGACCCGACTCGGAGCCACCCGTAAGCAAAGCTCTTGAGCCACCAGCCTCAATGATCGCCAGTCTTTACGTCCCTCGCACTTAAGTAGCACTTTATAGCTGGCGGTATAGTTTAAAGAGAGCTGGGATGTGCTACGAAGTTCGGATCAAGAGCTTTGCTGCCTTTTTGAGTTAACGGGTGGCTCCGATTGCTCCGCCACTTCGACTACAGTACCCCCGAGATTTACACCGTCACTTCAACAAAGTAATACTTGTACTTCAACAGCACACGTGAAAAGTAACTTGTATGTTGTTCGTAAGTAATCCATAAGTAAGATTCCACGATTCTAGCCAGTGTTCCGCAAAATGCATCAACAGCCGGTCCACGAGCAGAGTCGGTAGGTGCATGTACCGTAGACACTCGTAGAGTCCAGGCAAGCCACCGCAAAGCGTGTGCAAGAAGCCACAGAGCATTTTGCACCTTCATAACCCAATCGAGTCACAATGGCAGGCCCAACGATGGAAGTGGTGTCGCCGGCACAGGCCGAGGACGACATGCGGCCGTCGCACATGCACAACTCGCGGCTGTCGACCGTCAACTTCTATACGCCCAACAGTGACGGTCTGGGCGCCACACAGGTGCTGGGCGGCAGTCAGGCCCCTCGGCAGTCCTTGATGGCGTCCGTCATGCGTCCGTCTTCCATGATGCGTCCGTCTGTAGTCACCGATTTGAGCAACAACTTCTCTGAGGCGAAAATCCACGACGCACACGTGCAAGTGTTCGCTAGCGACGTGCTCATGGAGGGCCAACTCACCAAGAAGGGCGAGTCCGGGCTGCAGGCGTGGAAGAATGTAAGTGTACGTTTGGTATACACTTCGCCTTACACAATGTGGCACAAATTGTGTATACTTATTCTTATTTGTGGCATGTGTAGCGCATCTTCGTTCTGCGTGGGCAGGAGCTGTCGTACTACACTATCGACAACAAGCAGCGTTATGGCGCGTTGAAAGGCACTTGGGACATCGCAGGTGCGTCTGTGGAGCGTCAAGACAATTCGTCTTTCAGTTTGAAGCTGGCAAACGGGAGTATCCGCACTCTTGGCGCTCCGAATGTGCAGACTCTGATGGACTGGATGACGGCGATTGCTGTGGCTGCTGAGGCCCACATTGTGAAGCCCACGTCCGACTTGTCTCTTGTGGACCAGAGTCGCACAACGCACATTATCTTGGTGCGTCACGGCCACTACGCCAGTTCACAGACACCGTCTGTGGACATGCACGGACCGTTGACGGACTTGGGCGTGCAACAGGCTCGTGCGACGGGTAGATTCCTGCACAAATACCTCTCCGAGCGAATGGTGTTGAAGCGATTTCCCAAGTTCCCAGTGTATCACAGTGGCGTGCGTCGGGCAGTGGAGACAGCCGAACGTATCGGAGACGCCTTCCCTTCTGGGTCGCTGGAGTTCCGTGAGAACAAATTATTCCGCGAGGCGTGGCCAGGTAACCCACTGCCGAACGGCAACCGCCAGCAATTGGCGAGAGAGAAGCTGGACAACATGGTGTCGGACTGCGCTCGGCTCAAAATGGCATACCGTACCATGTTCCGACACCTGATTCCACAGGACTTGGAGGTGAACGAGCGTCAACTCAGTGAGGAAGACCTGAAGCACTACGCTAATACGTTCGGCATTCGATCAACGCAGACCCGCGCGAAGGACAGATTCCGTGTGGTGGTGTGTCACGCCAACATCATCCGATGGTTCGTGTGCAAGGCGTTGGGCGTGGACCCTGATGGCACGTGGGGTCGCATGCGCTACAACCACTGCGGTATCACCGCCATGGAGGTTGACAGCGTCGGTAACGTGCAGCTCACTTACATGAACCAGACAGGACACTTGGAAACCACGCAGCTCTCGGAGGTGTAAGAGGTGCTGAGTGTACCAAGTGAAAGTTACCTACTTAGTATTCAACTGACCCGATGGAATGTAGGAGCGTCGAGCGTTCAGTATCGATTCGTTTATATTGGCTTTGCATCAAAAATCTATCGAGTGTCAATACTTTTATCACGTTACCTTGTCATGAGCTGTTTCTACATGTAGTTGAAGTGAGTCACGATGATCAAGTTGAAAGTAAGAACCGATGCGCTATATTTTCATTGCTGCAAAGGTGCACAATTCCTGGACAGTTTGTCAATAACGAGCTAGTCAGCTCCAGTCGCTGCCTACATGTCGAAGGGTAGGTTACTCGACTTAGAACTTGAAGACCTGGCTGCTGGTGTAACCCAGCTCCTTGAGCAGACCCTTGAGCTCGCCCTGGCTCCGGTCGGGGGCCTTGTTGCCCGAGATGGCGTCCATCATCGGTGGCGGGCCGCACACGCCGATCAGACTCTCGTCCGAAGGACCGGGCAGCAGCTTCTCGATCAGCTCCTTGGTAACGTAACCCGTGTAACCCTCCCAGTTGGCCTCAGCCTTGTCCAGCACATAGTGCACCTGGAACTGCGGGTACATGTACTGCAGAGCATCCAGCTCATCGCGGAGGATAATGTCCTTCTCCGTCTGGTTGCAGAAGATCAGCACCACCTGCGTCGAGTCGTCCGGGTTACGGCAGATCTCCTTAACTACCTGCAGAGCGGGGGTGATACCGGAGCCGCCGCACAGGAAGCCGATGCTCTTGTACTGGTTGGGCTTGTACTCGAATTTGACGAACGGGCCCTTCATGGCCAGCTCGTCGCCAACGTTCAGGTTAACAATGTGCTTGCTCAGTTTGCCGGTCGGGTAGCCCTTGATCACAAGCTCAAGCTCTCCCTTCTCGGCGTTCGTGTTGGTGGGAGTGTACGGGCGCACGACGTTCTTGCCGTCAACACTCGCCTTGGCCATCAGGCAGCTAGCGACAGTGATGCCCATCTCGTGCTCCTTGCTAGGCAGGGCGAAGACCAGACGCTTAGTGTCGTGGGTCACTTCCTCCACCTTGGTCACCTTGAAGGAGCGGAACTCCTTGGGGCTCAGCGCCACCTTAGGCTCCTCGGCGTTATGCGCAGCAGACGAAAAGCTAGCAAGGCCCAAAGCAGATGCCATCGCGGTCATGGAAGCAGCGCTGCTCAGAGGCTGGCGGGACGTGGAGCGGAGAACCGAAGAGAACATCGTTGATCAATAGCTTCGAATAGAAGACTGCAAAACTGCTACTGACGAGCTTCCTGCGCCCCTCGTTGTAGACCGCCATCACGTTCTACCTTCGATAACTATTGGCTAGACAGAGTTCCGCTAAACTAAATGATTGGCTAAAAGGTCAACAGACCGTTGCGTAAGCAGCGACGTTGACGCTCAGTCACCATAGTGGAGAGTGCACCGATGTCTCAACTGTTTGATGCATATTATGCGCCATATTGCAAGGCTTGGTGGGTGGCGCGAATATTATGGCTCCGATCGCTTGGCAAAAGTATCGTGTTGATGAGTGAAAGGCTGACGATGCCTACCTGGAGCTCAGTCGAAGGAGAATGAGTCGGCAGTGGACCAGTCCGCGGTGCGGCCAAATGAGATCCGGCTAGCCTTGGTGTGACGGGATCGATGCAACGCCGTCGCCTTCGTGAAGGTGCGGCGCTTGATGCTGCCCTTGCAGCGCTGATCCGCCTGTTTCAACGTATTAGCTTCTCTGCAAGATAAAACTGCATCAACAAGCAGCGGCGGCATACCTTTTTCAGCTGTAGTTTTTTAGCAGCGTCTTGGCTTGTAGTGGAAGACGTCATCTCTGTGGTGTCCGCATCTTGGACGGGCCGGGTCATTTCAAGATCTTCGTCACAGCCGGCTGGGGAATCGAGAGGGTCGGCAACAGGATTTCGCTGGGCGACAGATGCAGTCTTGAATGTCGGTTCTGGCTTTCCTGTCTTCTGCGCTGGCGTGCGTCTCTTCAATCGACGTGGACGGACTCCATTCGCATTGTCGATTTTCCGGTGTTGTGGAAGGTTGGAATGGGTAGGCTTTGTCACTTTCGCTGCGATTGCCGGGTCGACAGTGAAAAGATCTGTCGCCTCTTTATCCGTCTGGGGCGACTCATCCACGAGATTAAGCCCACGTCGAGCAGACTTTGGGGTTTGTTTAGTCGCCTTTAGTTGTTTTTTATGCGGTTTTGACGAGCGCTTCTGGGAAGGTGGAATCTGCTGAAGCGTAGACTGGGTGAGCTTCCAGTAATACAGCCCGGCATCGTTCGTTACCAGACATACCTTGTTGAACTTGTCTTTGTTGCTCAAACGTTCCACGCTTGATGGGTCGAGCTCTCGGTTTTGTTTCTCGTTTTCTCCAGCTGCGCGGTTTTCCATGGTCTCATCCAATTCATGCTTGTGGCCCGTCGCAGCTACAGGAACCTGCTGTACAGGTAGCTTTATTTCGCTTTCCTCCCCCTCCGGTGGCTTGTTCGCGGAGTTTGTTGTGACCTTCGATTTCTTCTCCGCCATTTTCTCCTTCAGCTTTGTTAGCTTTGCGTTGTACTGTTTCTCCTTTTGGAAATTACAAGGTGATAGTTATTGACTAATTGATTGACTGCTGGGTCGAATCTCGTCAATTACCTTCTTCCTCAAAGTCCTTCCATACGTCTTGCGAGTCTCAGCCGTTAAAGTATTGTATCTCTCTTTCAGCTATAGCATTTGACAGCAATAAGTGCAGCTATGTTTGCAAGCAATTTAATAACACATACCTTTAACGTCTCTCGAGCAATAATTTCATCGACTTCGACCGTATCCTTTACTGTCCAGCTCTCGATCTGAAGCGTACGAGTAAAGTTATAGGATCGAACTGACGTCAGCTTTCTTTTGCTCATGCTTACCTCTTTGTCCAGCAACTCGATCAGGTTTTCAGCGTCACCAACGACGAATGTACTCAAAAACTTGTCGCGAACTTCGTCGATGCGGTTTTTCACGGCGGTCTGGGTCGCCGTGATGCTGGTCCTCATCGTTGTCAGGGTCGTGTTCGCACGTTGAATTTCGGTCTCCAGCACTTCGCAAGATGAACGTAGCTCCTCAGACTCCATTTCTTGGACTGTGAGGAGTCCTTGAATCTGCTCATCACGACGAAGCTCTTGGTTCAGCGCTTCTTGCACGGCCAGAGCTTCACCATCGATAAACTCTTGAGTGGCTGCAGACTTTGTCACCTGGTCCTGCTTTGCATCGATCCTTGCTTTCCATTCTTGAAGCACTTTAGTCTTCTGTGCAACCTTCTTGTTGACAGTGGCCACCTTTTTGTTTCGAGCGGTGATAGCACGTTCTGTGCCTTTTATTTTCTTCCCAATATCCTTGGTCTGTACCTCCAGAGAAGTTATTGCCGAATTGTGCTCCTCAACAAACGTGTGATGAGCTGATAACACATTCACATGTCGTTAGTAAGTAACAAGATCATTCTCTTGAAAATTGAAGGCATACCAGTCTCATCTGCAGCGTGGGTCTTTACGGCTTCATTTTGCTCGTTTTCAAGATGCACGCGCTGGCGCTCCAACCAAGTTAACTGCTTATCTTTTGCCTGTTCGAAGAGTTTCCATAGTTATTAGAGTTGAGTTAGAGTTCCGGTGCCTCAATACTAACGGCATCACCTTAATGCTTGACTGCGCGATTGCTAGGATGTCCTTCTCTTGTTTTCTTCGTAAAGCCAGCTCCCGCTTGAAGAATTTGACACTTGTTATCTCCTCCTGTAGCGCAAAAGTGCATTGGTTAGATCACTAACACGACAAGATTCCTGCGTGATCAGGGATACATTTAGATGTTGCAGTCGCAATTGAAGATTTTTTGCTTCCTCCACAACTTCCTCATCGGCTGGGCACGTTGGCTACAGAAAAGTTAAATTGTCTCAATAGCAGCTTGAAAAGCTATGAACGCGCTTTCTCGTACCCCCTTGCTTTCAAGCAGCTTCTGAAATTCTCGCTGTTCACTGCAGATACGCGTCAATCAGTGTCTCTGTGACGATTTTAGCTAATCATCGCACCTTCTAGCAATTTCGTTTTCAATTACGAGCTGTCGATGCTCTTCGTGAATCATATCTTCGTAGTTCTGCCAAGTCTGATCAACTTTAGTGTTAATGATATGTATAAGAACGGCAAAGGAATAAAAGAAGCATACTGTCCGGAGGTCTTCAACTGCAGCCTTCTCGGCTCGCAAAGCGGTGGTAACCTTTTCCACTGCTGCGGCTTGGCTTTGAGCATTCTGACTGACAGCGTTGAGGTATTTGTCTGAAGCAACAAACTCAGCTTGGCTATTCTGGAACCAGTTCAGCAACCCGTCAGACAGCAAAACCAAACTCCACAACAAAAGAATCATTTCGTTTACCGCGAAGTTCCACTGGGTTGAGCGAATGTCTTCTTGCAGCAGAAGAAGCGAGTTTCGAACTACATCATAGCACTCGTTAGCTTTGACAGCGGCGGCATGCTGCCCTTTCATAATACCTTCACTAAGCCGCTCCTCTTTAGATCTCAGAGCCACCACTTCTCGTGCCGTCTGTTCTTCAAGCCCCATGTATTGTTGCTCCAGTCCAGCTCGCTTGTCGACCAGCCCGTACAAAATATCCTTCAGGACACCACATTTCTCAGCAGTAGCCTCCAGTTCGTTGACTCCGACATTATCGCAAAGCCCTGGCTTGTCCTTCCCGTTTTGCTCTTGATCAGCCCCTAGCAGCGTCCGTAGCGACACCAGTCTCGCTCGCTGCAGACGGCTTCGCTCCCTATTTAAGCAAGCATACGCATCAACATTTATCAATAGTCAACATATTTTAACATTGAATGTAGGCCACTTACCGTAACTGGCCGTTCGTCGTGAGCAGATACTCGTGGCTCTCTCTTAACCCACTGAGCATCTCGTTGCGCTGAGACAGTAGCGTCCCCAGCTTGACCACCTCCATCTGCAGGATCTTCTCCTTTTTCGCCACCCTGCATATAAATATCAAGTCACGTTGGCCAAGAGCAAGGAAACAAGGGGCAAGTCATCACCTACAAACTCAGCGACATCGGGACGAGCGTCTTGGCGTCCTGCGATGCCGGCGTGTCCTCTGTGGCGTTTGCAGTACCAACCATTCCCCTCTTCCTCTTGCTGCTGTTCCTCTCTTGGGCGCGTGGAGAATGCGGAAGTGACGAAGTATCTGCGTGCGCACACAGAGTGATGGTCCTCACTTCAACCTTTCCTCTGATTCTGTTATCAGATATCCTTACAAAAACCAAGTCAAAAATGTCTCCTTACAAACCTCAATACAAACTGATGCTTCGAATTCCGCACTGCATGTAGACGGTCTCACAAACGTTTTGCACGTCAAAGACCGCAGGGCCAGCGCTATGATCCCCCGCATCTTGTGGCACATGGGGGCGGGAGTGCTGCGCCGCAAACTGACGCCGCAGGTTCCTGGCGCGCTATTGCGCTATCCCGGTGTGTGGAAGACGCGCGCGTCCCTGAAGGATTGTAACTTCACAGGCAAGCTGCCGGAGAACGCCTACTATCGTAGTATGGAGCTGGCCATCTGGTACGGCTGCGGTGTTCAAGGAATTCTGCACGCGTGCGTCCGCAACCGCTGGTACTTTGTTTTTGGTTCGCAAGGGATACGCCACTTTAAGGACATCAAGCTCTTCCAGCGCTACGAGGTGCACACTCGCAATGTGTACTGGGATGACGACTGGCTCTTCCTCTTAGCGCAATTTAAGTGCCCCGAGACGGGCGAGATCTTCGCCGAGGGACTGTCACGCTGCATGCTGCGCCACGGTAGGGACAGGGTGGACTCGCGGCTGCTATACAAGGAAATGGGCGTGGACGGTTTGCCCCACCAGCACGAGATGCCCGAGGTCGTCCAGAGGTTTCTGCTGTGGGACGCAGCCACGGAAGTCGACATGAAAACGACGGCCGAGGCCAACGCTGTTGCTTCTGCTTCCAGTCAGAAACCGAGCTTTCTGTCAGCTTACTCGATGAATCTTCCCTTCCAGGGCCATGTTCATGGCCACGGACACCAGTGACTCCGTGTGAGAGACTTGATGTGCCAAGACATGTCATGCTGGAGTGAGCAAAGTTGTACATACGCTCACGTTTTGCGCGGCTTTCGACGGTGTTATTTTTAATTGACTGAACGCTGCTGGTGCAAACGAATTATGCTGTTCACGAATGAAGCGTGGAGGCTCGTTGTTGATATAAGGTGGTTGAACTTGATGTTTATCTCTTTTGAATTGCGTCAAATTATAGCAGCATAGGTTACACTGTTCTGGATCAGAGTGTCTGCGGCAACGATCTGCAAGGCATCATTGGGCAGCAAGCGCCAGACACTATACACACGCAGGTACACGGGCTGTTTTCATTTACACTGTACGACCAATCTTACTACACACGACTGCTGACATCGGACGAAATTCCCGCAATCGGCGAGCGTACCAAATTATACACCGGGCTGTGCAAATTCTGCTTGCTCTTCAAACCAACATCGTCATCGGATGGAAGCGGTGAAAGCACCATGGACAGCGACGCTGGCTCGACTCTAGTGAGGTTTCCTTCGACAGCATCGGGATCGCCTTCATCAAGCCGCAGAGGGTGCGTCTTCGGATTGTAGATGATGTAGAGAGCGATATTGATAATACTGAGCAGCAGACACAACGCGTTGCCTCCGAACAGGAACCAGCTTCCGATCATCGGGCAGTATACGATCCACATGACGTTATTGAGTGCACCTGCAGCCACCATGGGGATCGGGATGAACGCCGCCGACTTGTAGTGTAACACCTTCATTATCCGCTCGAACGGCGAGCTAAACATGCTGAGACCGGCCAAAACGCCCAAGATACCCAGCGTCGTATCCACCCCGTCGTTCGTGTGACCAGCTTTACCAAGGATCGCATAGATCGTTATAAGACCAAGGATAGTAGCTCCAATTATGATCCTTCGTAGAGCTTTCTTGCGATCTCGAGCGTAGCAGAAGAAGACGGTCACGTAGCCGATGGCGATACAGTCGGAGGTGAGGAAGGTGGCAAACATGGGGAACCAATTCCTGACGATAGCGCCGTCCAGCATCCACACGTGTGCGTTCGCCACCATACAGACGAGCGGCAGTACGGACGCGATGCCCGTATCCTTCTTGCGGTAGATGTGATACATTGACGGGATCATGCTGAGCGTAACGCTAATTGACGTCAGCGACGCCAACACGCGGAAGAGCGTCTCCACGACAACGTTCACCATAGTTTATCGAGGTGACCAAGTGTGCCGAACAGCGCAAGATGCAGACTGATGCGACTGTCGGTGGATGAAGCGAAGCGACGTACAACCGTGTTCATCAAAACTTGGATGCTGAGCCAGAGAAGACTACGCACTGTGATTGGACCGTTGGCGACCACGCATCACCACCATGTAATCCAGGATGATTAGATGACCAACACAACAGCGGCGACAAGTCGACACTGCTGGGCAAAATGGAACCCATTTGGCAGACAGCTCGGCAGCGAGCAGCGAAGTTGCCGTTCGATCGGACGGATTCCCGTACTAAATGTAAAGAGTGGTGGGGCAACAGGAATACTTATCGCTGTTTATTAACTTACGTTTTGTTGTAGTTACGAATTACGAGCGGAGCGGAGCCAGCGGCGACTTAATCATTTGATACACGGGACTCTGTGGGGTCGCCTTGCTGGCCGACTGCACGCTTGGACGGTCGATCGCAATGGATAGGGTGCCGTCGTCTTCCTTTTCCTTCTCGAGAAAGTCCTCAAGTGTGGCTCCGTAGCCCAGTGGGTGCTTGCTCGGGTGGTAGATCATGTACACTGTTAGCTGCGCGACGCCGAGGGTGGCACAGCAGACATTGGTCACGAAGAGGAACCACAGTCCAGACATGGGCGTGTATATGATCCACATCGCATTGTTAAACGTGCCGGCCATCACCATGTGGATCGGGATGAACACGCCCGTCTTGTACTTGACCACATCCTTGATCCTGAGGAACGGCGAGCTGTAGAGCACCAGGGTCACGCACACTGCCAGGTAGCCCATAATGTCGTTCACCTGGTCCCTACTCAAGCTTGTGAACACGCCCAGTCCTCCGAGCACTGCGTACGTGGTGATAATCGACAGCACTGCCGCGTAAACGGCGATAACCTTCCACGCCTGTTTGCGGTCAGTTGTGTAGCGCAGGAACACGAACATGTAGATGATGGAGATGAAGTCTCCCGATACAAAGGTCGAGAAGACCGGGAACCAGTTATTTGTGAGCAAACCCTGCAACGTCCAGACGTGGCAGTTTGCGAACACAGACACGAGCGAGACGATGTTGGTGTTGCCGATCGACTTGGTCTTGTAGATCTTGTAGACCGCCGGCGTCGGGCTCAGAATCATCATGAGCGACGTACAGGCCGCAATAACGCGGAAAACGGACTCCACTCCGGACATGGCGACTGGATCTCTCGGGTCAGGTGAATTGTAAAATGAGGAGTGCAGGAAGTGAATTTGCCCTCAACGAGTAGATGGAGAGGAAGGACGAGATGGGTACGTCGCGTCGTTTGCATCGACTCTTCAGTCTCGGCGCACCGGAAGACCTTGCGCATACACTTGGCAACCACAAGAAGCGTACAAAGCGAAGAGACATCAAGCGGTGAGATTGGACGCAGCCCGGTTAAAGCCGTTTTGCAAGCATTTTGTTTACGAGTCCCGCTCTGAAGACGCAGAATTCCTTAGCTGTGGTAATGCAAGGACGGGTGGGTACTCGAAGTATTTCGTTAGTGCGGTAATGCAAGGACAGGACCGACGTCCGAGCTGCTGTCTCCACCAGTACTCTATGGGTCACTTGATTCTTTTTTCCGTTTGTTGCGAAGTACTGCGAAGTATTCGTTAGCAGGGAATTGCAGGACGGATTCACGTCGAAGTAGGCATGCAGTACAAGTTACATGGGCAGGGAGTGTCACGTGGCTCTTCAAGCCTGGCAGTAGGATGGGAAACTTAAAGACCTCTTGCGAACTACTCCTGTACGTCTGGACATGATCTATTCATAACGACTTACTGCCGCGAAGCGCGAATAACATGCACGACACCAACCGTGGAGTTGCGATCAAACGAGCTACTGTAGAACGAGCCGCTTCGTGTGCTAAGCGCGGGTGAACTCATTTGCTGAAAGGAGCTACCACGACTCATCGACGGCGAACTGAGCTGGAAAGAGTTTTCTCGGCTCAATGGAAGCAGCGGTGATGGCATCGGTTGTACGCTCCGGCAATCATTCGCGACCTTATTGTGGGTTTCAGCCTTGGATGAGACGACAATTGTGATGGCGATGTCTTCATCTGAAAGGTCTACGGTGGGCTGAACGACCTTACCCGGTCGGTACAGTACATACAGCGTCAGCAACACGATACCGAGCACGACACAGATGGCATTAGGGATGAACATGAACCAGTTACTATCCAGGGGTGTGTAGATAACCCACAAGGCCTTGATTGCCGCACCGCAGATAACCATTGGTAGCTGGATGGGCGTCGCACTCTTGTTACGTAGAACAAACAAAACCTTCTCGAACGGCGCGCCGTATAGAATGATAGCTGCAACAATACTCAAGTAGCCCAGTACGTGGCTAATGCTCGTGTAGTCTTGGCCTGTAGCACCGGTTGCTGCGATGGCGACGTACAACGTGATAGCTGTGAGTATTGAGACGGCACCGCTGACGATTTGGAGCACATACTCGCGATTTTCGGCGAACTTGTAGTACACGGAGATGTAGGCAATTGCCGCAAAGTCGGCGAAGCCAAAGGAGACGACAACGGGGAATATCTTACCGCAGAAATAGCCGTACATCATCCACATGTGTGCGTTGCCCAGCAGCGAGACGAACGGAACGATGGAGATGTTATCGACAGTCTTGCTCTTGTAGATCTTGTAGATGGAGAAGGACGGACTCAGCGAGACCATCAACGACGACAATGCAGTCATGATTCGGAGCACGAGGAGAATGGAGGCGTCGGCCATGGTTTGCTGAGACTACGGCTTACGCGCACGTAAGTAAATTGTAAAGTGAGCAGAATGGGTGAGTTGGCATCGGGGATGACTTCCTACGGTCTCGGGTGGGGGTTGTAGTGAAAGAGATTTCGTTTCACTAGTATTTTTGAGCGTTCTGATATCACTTCAACTTTGCGAGCGAGATAGGCAAGTACCGATGGTGAAGGCAACTTGGGTCTGTCTCACTTCATTTCTGAAGTTTTGACACGTCGCGTACATGGCCATGCACTGCAAGACGTCTAAGCAGCCCTGTCGGCAGCGATCGATAAATGCTGGAGCAGGGCTTACCTACCAGCAGGGATCCGCAAAAATATATTTACTGAAAATATATTTTTAAAATCTCAGATAATAATTTATTTACGGCCTTGGCTACAGTCTGAAAATTTATTTATGGATCCTATGTAAACCTACACGAAATTAATTGCCGGCCTTGACCGACAGCCACCAGATTTTCGTTGGCTCTGAGCTCCTTGCAAATTGCTTCAGCCGACTCGATCTCACTTTGCAATTTCGCATACCTCAAACAATCCATCTCTCACTACCTAGCCATGTCCGACGTCTCCCTAATGCCATCCCAGCGCTCTCAGAGCAAGTTCTCTCCGAAGCAAATCGCTTCATTTTTCTTTAAGCCCTACCTAACGGAGGACGGGGATCCTACTGGTCTCCAGGTCTGCAAGGCCTGCGGCAAGACGCGCAAGCACGCCCCCAAAACGGGGTACACCAACTTGGTGTCCCACGTGCGCACCGACCACCCTCGCTACGAACAGGAGATGGAGGTCCTTGGAGGACATGAAAGCGACTTGTCGCGGGCTGAGAAAGAGGCCCTAAGGCCCTTTCGTCAGATGACCAGTAGGAGCAGGAGCCCAGAAGAGGACCCGACCAAGCTGGGCTTCGCAGACAGAATTCTCAAACGCAGAAAGGTGCAAGCGGAAACAAGTGCGTATGTGATGCTGTCAGCCGTACCACCTACGTCGAACAAGGTGGAACGGCTGTTCAGCATGGCTCGCATGATAATGCGATACGAACGGAACCGACTGTCACCGCTGATGTTGGAGATGTTGCTGTTTCTGAAGATTAACAGCAGCTACTGGGACGTCACTACCGTTGACACAGTGATCTAGGTAGTATGACAGCACATCGGCTTAGTAACATGATTTCACTTTGCTGCTTAATATTTATTTGCCATGGTTGTGGATACAAGTTATTTATTTGCAGATTTACTAAGCACCATGCAGGTATCTATTCGCGTTAGAGGAGAAAATCCATTTAAATAATATTTTACGGAACCCTGCCTACCAGCACGTGTCACGTGTTTAACTACGAGAACCTGCCAATCGCTTGTCAGCTTGGTGCCGCAGCGGGAGAAGTACGGTCACAACGAGACGGCTAATGGATGCCGAATTATCAAAGGTATGGCTCACCCCATCGTTGGAGCATTAGTGCTTGCAAGCATACGTTGAGCTGGACCCTTGCTTCTTCGTCAGAGCATGTACCAGATTTCAGCTTGAAATAGTGGCCATGCTATACAGACGCGCTGCTTGCTTTGTTTACTTGGAGCATCTACCGCCTTAGAGATTCGTGTGTGTACAAATCAGAGAAGTTGTAAACTCTTCTTGAGTCTGCCGAACTGCAGCCACAAACTTCAGCAAGAACTTTCTGTTGCACACAACTAAAATATCCTTTAACAGCACACATACAAAAGTGTTTTGAGACCGTCCAAAGCAACAGGAGTTAAGAAATGACCTATTTTAAATTTAACGTACACCACACAAAATATAATTGGAGAATAAATTTCTATTTGCGTTGGTCATCATCGATCGCAAACTGTTAGTCTAATCATTTTACTGTGAAATGTTTACCGGCATACTTGCACATGCAATATGTACTTCTGAAGTACAACGCAGCAGTTGTTTGCGAAACACCGATTGGGTTAACCCTTTTGAAAGTGGGCCCTCACTATGTTGCGGGGTGATATTCATACTAGCAAGGCCATTAAACGGTCCAATGTTACCTCTACTAAACATCATTCACCACCACCACTTCATTGGATTCCACAATTTTGTAGCACTTCGGTTTGTTTAGTCTGATTGTGATTATTAATATGAACATGTACCTACAGACGTGCGCATTGCAAATTGAGCTTGATCTTGACTCGTATCCTTTTAACTCGTACTTGACGATTTACTAGAAAATATACCAATGGTATACCATATTACATGCTTTTGTGAGTCCTTACTGTGAGTCGTGCAAGTCTATACAGCTTTGTCCACTAGAATAGCTCCTTGGTACATGTATCATTATCAACGCACCGCCAGGTATCACTGGTTGCTTGCTGTCTTCCGTTTTCCGCTTAAGATCCGTCCGTTGTTTTGAAAACGGATAAGTACCCGCCGATTCCAAACTGTACAATACGTGAAGTAAGTCGCGGCGTCGTAAGCCCAACGGGCGCAGTTCGAGGAACTGGTGGTGGCCAAGCTAATGCCGGTCTTTCACACCGCTTGTCCTGTTTAGACAACAGCGATGTTTGGACGGCCAACCCCTTTACGTCCAATCACCGACGAGCCCCGTCCTACTTATTGGAGTCTATTAGCTGTAAGCACTTGGATAGGACGGCTAGACATATAGTTTCAATCGTACTGCAATGTCCGACTGACGTCGATGCCGACTTGACAGAGGCTTCAAGAATGACTCATTTAAATTTTCGCTCAGTGCTCGCTACGTAACCATCAAGACAACAGACGACGTCCTCCTTCGACCGACTTCACTATGGGCTTCTGGGTGACTTTGCTGAATGTATCCACGGGTGTCGCCGATATTTTCCTGCGTCTGAGTCCCGTGCCAGACATGTACAACGTCCATCGCAACAAAAACATCGGAGAAGTGGCCGAACTGCCGCTCATCACGATGGTCGTCAACTGCCACCTCTGGTACGTACAAATGCAGTCATGCCATCTTGATCACACTACTTACCTTGAAATGACGAACCGTTATCCCGTTATCGCAGGATGACGTACGGATACGCGACAGATAGCATGTTCCCGCTACTGGGCTCCCAGCTCTTTGGTGAGATCGTTGGCATCTTATACAACATTGTATACTACCGGTGGAGCCCCGAGGAAAAGCGCAAACGCCTACGCAAACTTTACGCGATCGCCTTTGCAGTCTGGTGCGTCGTCTCACTCTATGTCGTGCTTGGCGTCTCTGGCGTGTTCGGTCAGACCAAGTCAGAGGTTGGGACGTCTCTCGGATACGCTGGATGTGCGTTCAGTTTCTCGATGTTCGCGTCTCCACTCGCCACGCTAAAGCACGTCATCAGTACCAAGTCGTCTGCTTCCATCCCGATTAATATGTGCACTATGATCCTGGTGTCGACTGCGCTATGGACCGGCTCAGGCATCGTAGACGACGACTATTTTGTAGCGGTGATCAACATAGTTGGTGTCTTGTTAAGCGGCACACAGATCGCCATCTACTTCATGTACAGATCCGGCAAAGTCACATCGATCGAGCTCGAAGCAGGCAAAAATGCGTCGTTTATCGCGATCTCCCCCAAGGGTGAAGTTCACGGCACGGTGATTGTCGAGAGCCCCGCATACTACAAACCCATGCCGTCGCCGCTGGTAAGCGAAAGAGTATAGCGTGATAGCATAGAATCATCAAATGCAAAACCATTACTCCTTTTGTTTGTATCCGGAAAAATCTGGGACGTCAAAATGTAGATTGGGACTTTCAGTCGCATCGAACGCCTTATAGCGTCTCTCACAATATGTTGACACGACCCAACGGAGGAAATGCCCATCCGATGTTATCAGGACTTCGTCACACCTAGGAGTGGAGGGAATGGCATCTTCGCACTTGGTAGCTCCAATAAGAACTGTGATCAAGGCCGATGGTCCACCGAGAATGCTCGAGTCTTCCAAACATTTCAACTGACTAATCTATCATATGGTGTGATTACAAAATGCTAGGGCCTTCCCATCGCCTTCCTATCGGCTCGTTTAGACAAAAAAATCTCCGCTGCGTACTTATTGCCCCAAATAGGTACATTAGTTTGTATTTGCTGTCGACTCTGTGGAGATCTCACTAGCCAGCAAGCATTTTCCATTTTGCAAAAGAAGTCGCAGAATGAGCGGTTGGTTTTCCGATGTACTCAACGTGGCAGCAGCTATCGCTCAAGTCATTTTGAGCCTCAGTCCAGCTCCAGATATCTACAACGTCCATCGCCACAAAGATATCGGCGAGATGGCGGCTTTACCGCTCGTTGCAATGGCTGTCAACAACCACGCCTGGTATGCCTAACTTGTAGAGCTCTTCAACAGCATTGTATTGACAAGTGGTGTTTATGCTGCACCAGGATGCTCTATGGCTACTTGACTGACAACTTATTCCCGCTTTCAGCCACTCAGGCGTTCAGCCAGCTCGCGCGATAATGTACAGTGCAATTTACTTCCGATGGAGCTCGAAGCCTAAGCGCAAGGAGCTGATCAAACTATTCGCCCGAGCTTTTGCGTTGCACTGCGCGTTATCGTTATACTTTGTGCTTGGCGCTGTGGGAGTCACAGGCCAAACAAAGTCTGACGTGGGCACGTGGTTCGGATATGTTGGCGTCGTCATTAATGTCTGGATGTACGCGTCACCACTGGGAACGTTAAAGCACCAAGAACTCTGCATCTATCCCTATCAACTTGAGCGTCATGCTCTTGATTTCGACCTTGTTGTGGCTGGGCACGGGTATCCTGGACAGCGATCTCTTCAATGCGGGAATTAACTCCGTCGGCGCGACGCTGAGCTTAATTCAAATTGTGGTGTACTTCTACTACAGATCAAACCGGAACGATGAACTGCTGATACAACAAGATCTGATTTCCAAGGAGGACGATATGTCTATCGTTATTGCGACTCCCAAGGACAATACTACCATTACACCGCTTGATACATCGGTGTACAAACCAATGGCATCCCCGCGGACTTGAAACAGATCCTCTGTTACGTTCAGACGTTCAAATAATAAAAATATGTTTTACCTGGTAGTCGCTGCAAAAATAACTGTTTTTATTATTGGAACATGGAAACTAACTTTAATTGCGATTAATGCACTGTTCGACTCGACCTTCGGGTCCATGGAACTACATGTAGCCATCTACTTCGAAGTACTTGCACCTCACACGATCTGCTATCAGAAGTGCTGACTCATACAGTGTCTCGAGACTGGCGGCATTCAAGCTTTCACAGGCGCGTTCCTGTCTGGAGTTGAGGGCCACATGAACAGGATGAACCAGTCTATGAACCGCAGATGGGACTCTAATCAACTCGTTTGGTTGATAATACGATTCTACGTTGCCTAACGCCAACAATCGGTGGTTGGGACTCTAATCAAATCGTTAGATGGATCAATACAGAAGAGCTCGGCAGGGGTGCTTTTCAAGTCTTCGAGTTCCGGTGCTGATCTCCAGTCGCTGAGTGCAGCCAATCCTTATCGTTTCATCTTGCGTCGGCATCCGGATCGTTGTATAATACATTTGACAGCCAAGCTTCCGACTTAAAACGCACTGCAAGGCTCAGTCATTTTCCTTTTCTCTCGCTTCTGCTTGCTTCACCTTTAACCACCCCAACCATGAGCATCTGGGTCGATATCCTGAACGTGGCGACTGCCATTGCCCAAGTCATTCTGAGCCTCAGTCTCACACCGGATCTCTACAATGTCCACCGTCGCAAAAGCACCGGGGAGATGGTTGCCCTCCCTCTCGTAGCGATGGCTGTGAACAACCATGCATGGTACCCAGCGATCCATTGTTCAATACTCTAATTCCGTGTTGCTAACTGTATTTCCTTGACAGGATGCTGTACGGTTACTTGGCAGATAACATGTTCCCGATCTTTGCCACGCAAGCTTTCAGTCAGACGGCAGCGTTGATCTACAACATCGTCTTCTTCCGCTACACTGTGCCCGAGAAACGTAACGCATTGTACAAATTGTACTCTCGAGCGTTCGCGGTGCACTGTATGTTCTCCATCTACACGATTCTTGGCGTGGCTGGAGTCACAAACCAGACTAAGGGCCAGGTTGGCGATTGGGTTGGCTACGCCGCTATCGTCATCAATATTTGGATGTACGCGTCGCCACTGGGCACGCTTAAGCACGTGATCGCGACCAAGAACTCCGCCTCCATTCCGATTAACCTGAGCGTCATGATCTTTGTGTCGGCTTCGTTGTGGCTCGCGTCAGGAATTGTGGACGACGACTTCTTCGTTTGGGGAATCAATGCTATTGGTACAATGCTCAGTTTCATCCAGATCATAGTATACTACATGTTCAGACCAACGCATCAAGAGGAGATCAAGGACCAGGCGAACGGAGACTTGACGGTTGTTATCGACAACGCCACCACCACAGTCACAGTCGAGAGCCCAGTGTACAAACCGATGCCATCGCCAGTAATGCCGCTGTACAAGTGAACACTCTAAACTCCTGAGTACTTTTTTAGTAAACGCTTGACACACATTCGCCTTCTTTCTACACGTTATGCACTTTAAACCTGTTTGTAAATAGCGTGAAGGGTGAATCGACGTCGCAGAACTGTCAAAAAGAGAAGTGGGAGCCCAAGACAGAATAATCTTGGTTTCACCATGACCACATCAAGCTATGTCAACCACCTTAGCAGCTGTGGGTCTGTGTATGTATCGAATAGAATAGAAAATCTGGCAGAGTTCCAAACGATGCAAAAGTGATTTTTTTAAAAAAAAGTAATTGGTTTAAAAAGTGCTTTTTATTTTTGAAGCTGCTTTTATTTTGACAAAAATTTCGATAGGATAAAGCTTAAATTTCTAGTTCTGTTACTGTTAAATTCAGATTTTCCTGATAGACAGATATCATGGTATACAAGCTAAACAGGTGTAACCGGGGAAAAAGTGCAAGTTGACAAAAGAGATAGAATTCTCTTAGCAGTTTAGTAGCCTTCATCCATTAGCCAATTATAACGAGGCAAATTATGGTAAACGATTCTTATTACTAGTAGTCTGCGGCAAAGTGTTCCCATTGAAACGCCCTTTCTCGTGCACCAGAGCATACTTTAATCAAGTCAAGGGAGCTACTAAACTGGCAAGAGCATCAATTCGTGCAATCACAATGAAGCACCTTTAAAACGCTTTCAGCTGCAACAACGAACTCTTTCAACAATCCCTAAAATCAGGCTGTTTCTCCTCTTTTCAACGCTACCTGGAACGTGTCAATCAGATATTTGGCTGCAAAGATATTGACGGTTTAGTGACGGCACCAGCTCGAGGTTACAACACCGACATTTTCCCTTAGTAGGTGGCACAATAGGTTGATCTTTCACGGGAGACGTGGTAATTTGCGAGAGAACGCACGCGATGCTCTGCTTTTTCGATCTGCTTCAGATAATGGCCAATCAGGCTTGTGCTTTGATGAGTTTCCGATGCTTGCGTGAAACAAGGTCGCGTGGTTGACTCTCAACTGGTTCTTCATTCTTCAATTTACTTCGTTCCGACCTCGAAACGACTCGCCAATGAGTTATCGCGTCTTTATTGTCGCCCTGGCAGGGGTCGTAGCTACAGCAAATGCTGCTTCCATCGCGTATGACAAAGTACAACCAATTGCCCAACCAAAGCCAGTCACGATCTCAGAGAAAGCCGGCGTCAAGTTCAAGCCTCAACTCTTTGTCGACTCTGGTTGTTTCACATTCCCCGCCGTGAATGCTGCGGGCGAGACGAGCAGCGGGCTGCCGGCGGAACAAGGAAACTATTTCTGCGTGAAGCGGTATAATCTACTCGGCTCACAGGTTTACGGTCGTGCTACGTGGTACAAGGGAGTCTGGGCCATCATGTACGCCTGGTACTATCCTAAAACGATTACTGCACTTGTTGCAACGGCAACGCATGACTGGCAAAATGCAGTTGTGTGGATCAATAACCCCGATCTGGAATCCCCCAAGATCATGGGACTATCGACGTCAAAGAAATCGGAAACTGACCACACAAAGCCACACATTACACGAGAGACGTTTAAGTCCGACGTCACTTACGACAAGCGAACGAAGGATTTCGATCAGTTTCTCGATGGTACTAGCTTTAAACTTGCTAGTACCCTGATTTTGGGGCCCATTTTCCTGCGTCCGATGACCGAGAAAAAGGGCGAATTTCAGGATCTTGTCATGTGGAGCCAGCTCCCGGATGTGGCACGAGCGGCTCTCAATTCAACAGAAATCGGAAATGTGCCTTTCAGCGACGCGAATTTTCAGAAAAAGCTCGCCGAAGCCTGGCCATTTTAACGAACCGCGAGATTCCCAACAGAAAGTGAACGAGTGTTGTTGTTGTTTTTCTACCTTGCTGTGGAGAAATTAATGTCATGTCCAGGACGGGGAACTTCTGAATTTGAGTATTGAGCTGAGTTTACAGTTAAGGGCAATAAAAACCATTTCATACTGATAATACCTTCGCTGTTTTTACTTTCTTAAATCTTCTTCTAGAAAGATAAAAGTGCAAGTTGTTTCTAGCTGATTACGTTCAAAACGAAGGTAAACCTGCCTGAATGAAATTTAAACAAAATCTCATTCAATTCAACTCACGTCCTAAATTTGATAACGTCTATAAGTTCCACTGGAGATGATAACGCCTGGAACTCTGAACTAGTAACAGCTTCCATCTTCAAGTCACTGTTATCATTGCAACCGACTGGCAAAGCAAGCGACAGGTCGACTGGATCATCCTCATCCAAAGTAACCGAGCTTGTCTCCACATTGTTTTGTCGAGAAAAAACGATATACATGGCCCAACTAGCCAAGTGAAGTGTAATGATCCACACTTGAGGCCCTGCAATGATCCAGTTCGACGTCATGTGACCGTATGTGATCCATCCACTCGAGTAAGAAGTTCCTACAACCAAAGCACACACGTTGATCGATGCAGTAGACTTGTTCTTGAACGCGCGGACGATATTTATGAGTGTAAAGAAGCTAGTTGAGATTACAGTGACGTCACAGAAGCACAAGCCGTGGGTTTCCCACACTTCTGCTCTTGTTTGCCCAGTGAATCCAAGGAAACCGACGGCAACATAGAGCGTAGGCACCGCCAACACTGCGACCACCATTACAATGAGCTGGCCGTTTTTACGCTGTTCATTGGAGTTTTTCCAGTAAATGAAGATGTAACACCACGAAGCGATATCGCCGATGAGGAAAGCCGGAAAGTTCGGGAACCACGCTCTTCCTAGGAACCCATACATTGCCCACACATGGGAGTTCGCGAGTAATGAGAGGAGAGGGACAATTGAAGCGGAACCGACGGTTTGCTCCCGATGAATTCGGCGGACCAGGGGGTATGGCAGACAGATCATGGCCAACGTACTGCACCAAACCCAGACCCAAACCACTACACGAACGACGTCGCTGACCATTTTGCACTGCTCAAGATGATTGAATTTTGTGAGCTCTCCGTGCTGTTAATACGCAAAACGGACCCAGCTACATGGAGAGACAGTGCAGCGCCGCACCAATCTTACCTATTGACTTTGCAAATCTCCAATTACTTTACTTTAGCGCTGCATTCGAAGGAAAACTATGAATTTATTGCTACATGTAGTCTGACCTTCCGCTTCGTAATCCAGGTGTTGATCTATGAAGAGCCTGTCTCAGACGTGCGCCTTAACGCTCATTATGATGCTTGCAAGAGGACAGAAGGCTACAACACGTACCCGATAACCAATTCAGCTGTTTTTAGATTAGATGAGGTTGAAGCAACATTCTCATCTAATCAAACCATGTCACAATCCACAGCCTCACGATTCAGGTACCCATGAACATCAGTCTTCGAAACAAGATAAACGAGAGGATAATTATCTCTGGGGTTGCAACACCAGAATCGGAGCTTTCATTTCACATTCTCGATCATTGACTCCGATCGTTGGCATCATTATCCAAGTTGTCTCCAATCACACAAGTTCGGCTTTCGATGCTGAAAACTGCGGCGTTCGTCAAGCGAAACATGTCGACAACCTTCGGTCCCCGTACGATCAACGCCTACGCTGCATTCAAAGCGGGTGGTACTTTGAACCCGTGGCAATACCAGTCACGTCCTCTGGGTGATGAGGACGTCGAAGTCAAGATTTCCCATTGTGGCATTTGCGGTGGGGATATCCACGCCCTCCACAACGATTCAGCTCCGTTCCCCTGCGTCGTTGGCCACGAAATAATCGGTGAGGTGACTCAAGCTGGCCCTGCCGTCAAGAGACTTGCTGTTGGTGACCGGGTTGGAGTCGGTTTCAACGCCTGGGCGTGTCTGAACAAGGATCAAGCTCGACCGTGCCGGGAGTGTGAGTCTGGCAACGACGCCTACTGTAAGCGTGCGGTATTCACGAGCAACTCCAAGTACGAGGAGGCCACCAGTCATTCGGCGGCTTTGCTGACTACATCCGTGTCTCCAGCAACTACGCGTTCCCGATCCCGGAGAACATCCCTTCAGATGCGGCTGCACCGCTCATGTGTGCTGGATCGGCTGTCTACTCTCCTCTCAAGCGTGAAGGCGTGAAGGCAGGCGACCGAGTTGGCGTCGTGGGTATCGGCGGTTTAGGTCACCTCGCTTTGCAGTTTATTCGTGCACTCGATGCGACTCCGATCGCTTTCTCGACTTCGTCAAAGAAGGAAGAAGAGGCACGGACGTTAGGTGCAGCCGAGTTCTACAACCTCGATAACCCGGAGGATGTGAAGAAGGCTGCCGGCTCAGTCGATTTGCTGCTGGTGACGGTTGCTGCGTCGGGCTTGCCATACAATACGTATCTCAGTCTGGTTCGTAAGCTTGGCACGTTAGTGGTGCTTGGTGTTCCTAACGACGACATTCGCTTTAGACCCATGTTTCTTGTGGGAAATGGCGTTCGTATCGTCGGGAACTTGGTTGGAAGCATCGAGGACGTTGCTGATACGCTCAAACTCGCAGCCGAGAAAAATGTACGCCCGATTGTTGAAAACCTGCTGATGGAACAAGTCAACGAAGGTATTGCGCGTGTGCAAGGAGGGAAAGCTCGTTACCGCGTCGTGCTAGAAAACTGCGGTTGGCCACAGAAAGAGTTGCGCTAAGTTAACAGAGCTCGTAGCCCCCGGTAAGCATGTCAAGCCGAACACAGGGTGATGATTCGCTAGGTTTCTAAAAAAAAAGTGAAGCAAGATTAAAAAAAAGGAAGAAATCGAGATTATTTCACAGCACGCGTTCCTCCTCCATTGGTCGACCTACTCCAACGAAATGTCATTGATCGATACGGTAGATTGATTCAGGAATGTAAGACTCACTGCACCGAGTGTGGTGGGCTGTATGCAGCGTGATCCAAGCTCTGCTATGGCAAATCAGGAACCAAGTTGTCCACGAAGGCAAGCACTGGTCTCTGCACGCTTAATTGAATAAATGTGGACGAGGACGCTTTGGCAATTGACGGCAGTCGCGCGTCGAGATCAAATTTGATCCAACACCAGGATACAAGGATTGCTGCTGCAGTTTTGTATAGACTGTTTTGCCAATATGACACCCACATGCCTAAGCTCGGCTTCTCAATTGACTCCAGAGCCTGCACTGTGGGGGAAACAGAAAGAGCCCAAATTGAGAAAAATTATAAAACTTACCAGGCATTTATTAACACCGGTTATATAGATTATCTTCCATCTTCTTTTCTTTGCAATCAAAATAAATGCGAG